AATAGATTAAAATGATAAATAATGCCCATGTGGTTTAATAACCCTATTAAGAACACTTTGAATGGGACCTTTGGGACAGGTTCAAATGAGGTTTATTAATGAAATACATTTGTGAAAATAGGAAGGATTGAGGATGGAACAATAGATAGACTCTGCAATGGGGTCAGCAATGGCCCTTCATTCTTTTCAAGTATTATTTATTATATGCTAAATTGAATTATTTAGTAAGAAAAAGAAAGGATTTTTAAATTCATAACACCAGATCAATTTTTTGATGAGCTTCTGCAAGTCAATTTTAATTTTATAAGATTGTATATTTTGTCATTCTTGATCAATTATTATACAATGTTCCACATTCATGGGGATATGAATACTCATAAATATTCCTACATGATGATAAACTTCATATATCATCCTTCTAACCTATTTCAAAGCTGCAATTTATATTTCTCAATACTTAATTAGATTTGGTGAATACTGATCAGGACTGTATTAGTTACCTTTCCTGTTACTGAGACAAAATAGTCACAAAAGAAAATTAAAGAAGGGAAGGATAGTGGTTTGAATGAGAATGGCCCCCATAGGATCATATATTTTTAATGTTTGGTCACCAGAGAGGAACTATTTGAGAAGGTTGGGAGGTATAGCTTTCTTAGAGTAGGTATGGCCTTATTGGAGGAAGTGTGTCATTGGTGTGAGATTTGATGTTTCGAACACTTACCCCAGGCTATCTGTCTCTCTCTGCCTATTGCCTGTGGATTAGGACATAGCTCTCAGCTATGTCTCCCACACTGTGCCTATCTGCAGCAAGGTGCTCCCCACCATGACGATAATGAACAAACTCTCTAAAGCTGTAACAAAATACCAAATTAAGTGTATTATTCTTAAGTTTCCTTGATCATGGTGTCTTTTTACAATAATAGAGGAGTTACTAAGACAGAAGGGCTTATTGGGCAGGTTGTTTGAAGTTTCTGCTGGAGGAGACATGTAGGCAGACACTTAAGACAACTGCAACTACAGTCAAGATGCAGAGAAACAGCTCAGCTCTTTTTCCTGTTTACATTCAGTTCAGGAGCAAAGCCCATGCTCACATTTAGAGTGTGTCCTGCCCTTTCAAGTAACATAGTCTATGAAACCCATGAGTTCCATGCTTAGTTTGTTTCTAGGGTGCTTCTAAATCTCATCAAGTTAACAGTCATGATTGACCATTACAATGCTGATCTTGTTATTGTCAAAAGAATTAAGGGATTATGATAACAGATGGGGTATGGTGGCTTTTACTAGTCTGAATAGGTTTATTAACTTTACATTCAAATGAAGACAACCCACCAGGAATCTAGTGATGAGAAGAGTTAGTAGTTACTCCACAAATGAAAAAAAATTAGATAGTACCATTTTGGCTCAGTTACAGACAATGTATGCAGTGGTGAAATATAAGCAAATTTCTTTTGAGATGAAAACCATTATTAAAAATGTTAAGACATAATGAAGGGCAGCTCTGAGTTGGAACAAGTACGAGTTCAATAGGAAGTTAAGTCTCATAGGTGAAGTTAATGAAGTAAGCTATAACTAAGTAGAAATAAGATTTAGAAATGGAACATCTAGGGTAGCAGAAGTGAGAGCTGCTTCCTTTGAGGAAAGACATCAGTGGAGGCAATGACTTAACTAAGAGACAACCCCCATGATGAGGCTCATCTCACACTGTGGCTATTAAGTGGATTTAGAAATAAACAAATGAACAATGGGCCATAGAGAATGGTTATCAAGATTCCAGATTCATACACATGTGTTAGCTATTTTGCATTGTTCTGATCAAATATTTGGCATAACAGCTAAAAGGAGAAGGGACTTCTTTTTCTTTGCTGTCCCATGGATTTGCTGCACTTGGTCCATCTTGGTGTGCAGAGAAGAGTAAAGTAGAGCATGCTATCATGGCAGGAAGCTGAGAACAGAGAAGTCTGGGGCTCTGCTGGCTTAATTTATTCATTTGGATATGTTTTGACTCTACCTTTATTATTAGACACTGGGCTGGTGCTGCTGACATTCAGGATGGTTTTCCCCTGCCCAATTAATCTCTGAATACAGGTTCACAAACTCCTGAATAGCAAGACCTTCCCAGTCTCTTAAGTAATTTTAAACACAGTCAAGCTGAAGTGAAGATTAACCATCACACTGTTGTGGCTTCCTGTTTTATAAACAGAGAAAAAGAGTGAATTAGGAAACAGTAAATGTACCAAAACTCACAACAAAGACAGTAATGTATTCATTCTTAAATTGCAGATAATCTGCTTTGCTGAAATATTAAAACAAAGCTAATAGTTTTTTAAATGAAAGACTATTAATATTAGAGAATTCTTTTTGATATCCTTAGTAGAGACAAGAGTAGTGTTTGGTTTTGTTTTTTATAAAACAAACACAGCTTGTAATCATGATTGATGCACTGTTGGATTCTAGGTGCAAACACTTCATTTAAGATCCTTTAGTATCAATATTCATAAGTGAGATTAATGTGAAATTTCCTTAGTACATTTTTTGTAAGGGCCTTAGACCAGTGTCTCACCTGATTTATGAAAGCAATTTGAGAGTTTCCATTCTTTCCTATGCTACCACATAGATCTGTATTAAGGAGTTAAATACTTCCATAAATACAACTTAAGTATGTCTTGCAAGGGACTAAGGCAGATCTTTGGGTAGATCAGTATCAATCTCCCTTTCTTTCAACTTCATATTCTCAGGTGTGACTTAAAACTGATGAATAAATACTGAAGGTAGAATGCCCCATTTATAAGATCCACACTTACTTATGCATATATGAAGCACTTGGCTGAAGTTGAGATGAGTCATTATCAGATTTTCTACCCTGCTAGGGAGACTCAATTTGTAAGAAATGGAGGAGGGTTTTGAAGAAAGAAATTAACTCTTAACATGGAATTTTCCCCGTGATAGCATATGAGATTTTTAAATTTCAATTAGTATTATATTAATATGAATAATTTTCATGGGAATGTTTATATTAAACTATAGAAATATTTAATATCTCACAAATATTATGTTTAAACTTTATTTAAATAAAACACACATAAATCATCTCCTCTCTCCTCTCTGTAACCCTTCTTATGCCCTCTATTCTCTCTCAAATTCATGGTCTCTTATTTTTTAATTACCATTCCTAAATAATATAACTACAAATTTATGCAAATAAATATATAGATGCATCTACCCTAGGCCCCACTTAAAATTTAGTTCAATATATGCTTAGGACAGGGTAGAGAGGTGAAGAGATGATAACTAGATGATAAAGGAAGAGATGCAATAGATAACTTCAATTGTGGTGTTAATTATTTTGAAAGTTGAGAAGATTATTTCAAATACATTAATTAATAACTATGTGTACTGAATATCACAGGCCACATCCACAGTTATGGTAAAACCTTAAATTCCAATTACTTACAAATTATATTCTTTCAACAGCTTTCTTCCTGCAGTACATTGTTTAGCATATGTCTGCTCACTGAGAGTTTGGAAGCAGAGAATAAAACAGTGTGGAGTTTTAAATGGCTAAAAATAAATCGGCTTACACAGGAAGGTCTTTCCTCCTTTCTTTTGCCTACTTATTTACATTTTCATATTGAAGGTTTCTCAAAGTAACAGATGATATGCAAAAATGTGCTCATGACTGCTACCTCCAGGTCATGTCTTATTAGCATATATTTGAAATCTCTGGTGAACAGGTTCTAGTTAATTTTTTTTTTAAATCACAGGCTCAAAATATTCCAAAAGAGAAATGAATATCAATTATATATTTATGAGACATATTAAGAATTGGGTCATTAATCTAATGAAGTCCTTGAACTATACTTGTCAATACTTCTATTGCTTTTTATGTAAAAATGATATTAAAACAACTTGATACTGTGACCTTCAAAGTGCATTAACCAGACATTCTGAATTAAAGTGAAAATATAGACATACATTCATGACCATTGCAGAAATGTAAATCATATCTGGTTTCTTATGGAGTTATTGGTAAGAAAACACTGCTATGTCATTACACAAACATGAAGGAAGACAAAGTTCTATGTTCATGACCCAAACAAGGAAATGAATTCATCTTCATAGCCAGCAGCAATGACTTCTGAAAGAGAGAGATAGTGTGATCTTTGTTATTTTTCTTCTTGTTGTGTAGATCTTCACTTGGCTTTATAGTTCCTGCATCTGGAAGAGTTCCTTAGAAAGTGAGTGACAAGTGCTCAAGAGCTCTGGTTAAGATTTGAGAAGATAAAGCTTCTAGGCAGCTATGCTACATCTAGAAAACTATTTATGTAAATGTTTTGGTAAAGACAGATGGGAAAGGGCCAGTGAGATAGTTCTCTGGGTATAGGTGTTTGCCACAAAGTCTGAGGATTAGGGTTTAAGACTCAGAATCTACATGGTGAAGGAGAGAATTGTGAGTTCTAGCATCTATACTGAAACATAGAAACTCTTGTTTAAGAGTTCCACATTCAATAAGTATAAAAAACCTTAAAAATACAAGAAAATGAGGGGAAATGTACATCTCTGAGTCTGTCTTAAGGCTGGGTGATCGTTCACTTAAGGTTTTGTAGACATTGTAAGATACAAGAGATTATTAGCATTTCAAATATTAGTAAAATTTAAGGCAAATATTTTAGCAAATCCTCAGTTGATCAATTAATTAGATTATCATACATTGAGGATAAAATATGCACACTTTGATGGAGAGCATCAGATGATCCATTCAGGCCCATGAAACCCAGCCTCCAGGGCTAATTACATGTCTGATGATGGAGGTAGTTCTTATGGCCCTTCGCACTAGCTGCATCTTTTCTTCCTCTGAAATGCCATAGCAATTTATCTCTGTCCTTCTTGGGCTGGAGATAATTATCTATATATTTTGGTTATGTTAATAACCCAAGCTTATTAAATATTTATTAGATACAACATTATTTGATGACAGCAGTCCCCTTTTTTGTCCACAACAGCTTCTGGGAAGACAGAAGACACCTGGGACACTTCTCACATATCTTCTACATTAGTGCTACTATGAAGCATCTTTTTGTTTTATTTTCTAAATAATATCCTTAAAAACAAGTTCATGAAATGAAGAATTGGAAGACCATAATTATGGTTTTCAAGTAGCAAATGTAATGAAAGCACACATTTACTGTGCTCTGCATTGTGCTGACATCTGGATACATCCCATCCTTAAGGGTGTAGACTAGAACTGTCTTCCAGAAACATGAAGAAATTCACAACTAACCATTGAGCTGAGCTCCTGGAGTACAATCGAAGTGAGGGAGGAGCAAAAATATGAACAAAGGAGTCAAGACCATGATGGGGTAGCCCACTGAATCAGCTGACCCAAATCACTGACTCAGGTACGACAAATGAGGAATCTGCATAACACCAAACTAGACTCCCTTAATACAGGTGACAATGGTGTGACTGGGACAATATATGATGCCACCGGCAGTGGGTCCAGGATCTATCTCCAATGCACAAACTGACTTAGTGGAGCCCATTCTAAATGGAGAGATACCTTGCTCAGCCTAGACTTTGGGGTGTAGGGGTGGAGAGGTGGTTTGGTCCTGCCTCAACTAGATGATGCAACAGACTTAGTAGACTTCCTAGGGGAGGCCTTACCCCTAGGTAAGTGGCCAGTGGGGAGATGAGGACTGGGAAACTGGGATTAGAATATAAAAAAAAATCATAAAAAGTAAGGTTTTGGGCTCTGGGATGCTTAGACATTAATAATTCTAATGTCAATGACAGACCAAGAATGTGTGTCACATTCTTGTTTTCATGATGAGATATCACCTGCTGCCATCTGGTTTCCTTCTTTGCAGCACTTGCTATGGCTGTAAGCCGCATGTTTTATATAGTTATTTCTTTCTCCCATTAAATATCAAGCTTTCTATGGCCCATTGTACAATATTATTTCATATTTTAACTGCAAAATTCTACAATAATACCTGAGACATGAAAATGATGTTCATATAATAAATCAAACACCAAGATAATTTAATAATGAAAAATTGCATATCGAGTCTATTTGCTCAATGTTTTGCAGTTCCCTTTTCTAAGTCATCTTTGTATAAATACATGAAATTTACAAAGTTTGTTTGAATCACAATTCATTAGCTCTTTGTTAACTCTAACAAACATAAACACACAAAACAAAACATAGGGAGGTTGAGCGTTTGTAAAGCAATGGGCCTGAGACCAATGATCCTGATGATTGTAACTATCACAAAAGATTACCAGACCCCAAACTCAGCAAAAAATTAAATGAATAAAAAACAAAAAGCAAAAAACATCTCTCTGCAGGAAAACTGCATACAATGACCTGCTTAATTTCTGACCAGTGACATCCTGAGTATTGATTCTGTTACTCTAGGGCTACTGTTACAAAATCTTAAATATAATCCTTTTCTCTTTGCCTTTGATTATTTTCATTCCTTGGAACAGAAGATAGCCACTGTAAAATTGTTATGAATGTTTTTCTTCAAAGGATTTATATTGGAGGTAAATAATACATATTAAAATACTGAACCATAATTTCTATAATAGCCTGCACCCAGATGATACTATTGTTTTAAAATTTTCTGAGGTGAATTTATTGTCAATGCTTTGTTTACTTTCTTGATTTTACTGTAAGGCATTTAGTTAATATTTTAGTGTGACCCTTTCTTGCTTTTAGTCTTCGTTAATTCAATTTTACAAGAAAGTATGAATTAACGAATTTTCTTCTTTGCACTCTAGACAAGTTTACCAAAATGAAGCTCCTCCTTCCTTAGATGCCTGCCAAAAGTTGTTCTTTAAAATGTTGCTGGTGTTAGAACAGTAGCTTTTGCAGCTCTTACAAGCTTATTGGTGAGTCTCTCCAAATATCCATCAATTTTTCCTCTTGGGAAGTTCTAGAAATCCCCCACCATTCAGTGTTTCAAATACTTTGCACAAGCCTTCATAACATACACTGGCGTGATGTGTCACTCTTTACACTTGCTCTGATTCCAACTATTTTTCTCTTGGCCTATCTATTTTATAATCCCCTCTATCCAAGTCTCCATAACTTCTACTGGGTGGGAATTGTTTGCACATAAGGAAGTTTCTCCAACAAGTTGGATCTGCTCTTGTGAGGGAAGGTTTGCTATGGTTTGAATATTTCTCCAAATACGGTTTTATATGTTCCATGGTTTGGTTTTATATCTCCCCGAAGATCCATATGTTAATGATTTGATCCTTGAAATGATATCATGGTAGTTGATGTTCTAGTGGGAGAACCTTGAGTAATAGAATGAATGTCCTGAGAAGGAATTGTGGCATGTACACTCCTTTGGCTCTCTTCTATCTGTCATGATTAATACTCTCAGCAGAGGCCAAACCAATGGACCCAGCTGATTCTGCACTGTCTGTTAATTTTCTTCCTCCTCTTTCCCTTCTTTTGTATCTAAGCTTTCACTGTATTTCCCCTGAGTATTCTGGCTCTCACTAAGCAGAGCAAGCTGCTCTTCAATTCACAGAAAACCAACTTCCCCTCTCTTTCAAGAGCTGGGATTACAGGGTTTGCTGCCATCCTGACATGCTATTTGTCTTCTTTCAGTATCTTTCAGCTGCCAATTTTATAATGGAAAACTTTTCTATTTTACATAATCTATGTTTTTATGATAGCCCACTGAATCAGCTGACCCAAATCACTGACTCAGGTACGACAAATGAGGAATCTGCATAACACCAAACTAGACTCCCTTAATACAGGTGACAATGGTGTGACTGGGACAATATATGATGCCACCGGCAGTGGGTCCAAGATCTCTCTGCCCTGCACAAACTGACTTAGTGGAGCCCATTCTAAATGGAGAGATACCTTGCTCAGCCTAGACTTTGGGGTGTAGGGGTGGAGAGGTGGTTTGGTCCTGCCTCAACTAGATGATGCAACAGACTTAGTAGACTTCCTAGGGGAGGCCTTACCCCTAGGTAAGTGGCCAGTGGGGAGATGAGGACTGGGAAACTGGGATTAGAATATAAAAAAAAATCATAAAAAGTAAGGTTTTGGGCTCTGGGATGCTTAGACATTAATAATTCTAATGTCAATGACAGACCAAGAATGTGTGTCACATTCTTGTTTTCATGATGAGATATCACCTGCTGCCATCTGGTTTCCTTCTTTGCAGCACTTGCTATGGCTGTAAGCCGCATGTTTTATATAGTTATTTCTTTCTCCCATTAAATATCAAGCTTTCTATGGCCCATTGTACAATATTATTTCATATTTTAACTGCAAAATTCTACAATAATACCTGAGACATGAAAATGATGTTCATATAATAAATCAAACACCAAGATAATTTAATAATGAAAAATTGCATATCGAGTCTATTTGCTCAATGTTTTGCAGTTCCCTTTTCTAAGTCATCTTTGTATAAATACATGAAATTTACAAAGTTTGTTTGAATCACAATTCATTAGCTCTTTGTTAACTCTAACAAACATAAACACACAAAACAAAACATAGGGAGGTTGAGCGTTTGTAAAGCAATGGGCCTGAGACCAATGATCCTGATGATTGTAACTATCACAAAAGATTACCAGACCCCAAACTCAGCAAAAAATTAAATGAATAAAAAACAAAAAGCAAAAAACATCTCTCTGCAGGAAAACTGCATACAATGACCTGCTTAATTTCTGACCAGTGACATCCTGAGTATTGATTCTGTTACTCTAGGGCTACTGTTACAAAATCTTAAATATAATCCTTTTCTCTTTGCCTTTGATTATTTTCATTCCTTGGAACAGAAGATAGCCACTGTAAAATTGTTATGAATGTTTTTCTTCAAAGGATTTATATTGGAGGTAAATAATACATATTAAAATACTGAACCATAATTTCTATAATAGCCTGCACCCAGATGATACTATTGTTTTAAAATTTTCTGAGGTGAATTTATTGTCAATGCTTTGTTTACTTTCTTGATTTTACTGTAAGGCATTTAGTTAATATTTTAGTGTGACCCTTTCTTGCTTTTAGTCTTCGTTAATTCAATTTTACAAGAAAGTATGAATTAACGAATTTTCTTCTTTGCACTCTAGACAAGTTTACCAAAATGAAGCTCCTCCTTCCTTAGATGCCTGCCAAAAGTTGTTCTTTAAAATGTTGCTGGTGTTAGAACAGTAGCTTTTGCAGCTCTTACAAGCTTATTGGTGAGTCTCTCCAAATATCCATCAATTTTTCCTCTTGGGAAGTTCTAGAAATCCCCCACCATTCAGTGTTTCAAATACTTTGCACAAGCCTTCATAACATACACTGGCGTGATGTGTCACTCTTTACACTTGCTCTGATTCCAACTATTTTTCTCTTGGCCTATCTATTTTATAATCCCCTCTATCCAAGTCTCCATAACTTCTACTGGGTGGGAATTGTTTGCACATAAGGAAGTTTCTCCAACAAGTTGGATCTGCTCTTGTGAGGGAAGGTTTGCTATGGTTTGAATATTTCTCCAAATACGGTTTTATATGTTCCATGGTTTGGTTTTATATCTCCCCGAAGATCCATATGTTAATGATTTGATCCTTGAAATGATATCATGGTAGTTGATGTTCTAGTGGGAGAACCTTGAGTAATAGAATGAATGTCCTGAGAAGGAATTGTGGCATGTACACTCCTTTGGCTCTCTTCTATCTGTCATGATTAATACTCTCAGCAGAGGCCAAACCAATGGACCCAGCTGATTCTGCACTGTCTGTTAATTTTCTTCCTCCTCTTTCCCTTCTTTTGTATCTAAGCTTTCACTGTATTTCCCCTGAGTATTCTGGCTCTCACTAAGCAGAGCAAGCTGCTCTTCAATTCACAGAAAACCAACTTCCCCTCTCTTTCAAGAGCTGGGATTACAGGGTTTGCTGCCATCCTGACATGCTATTTGTCTTCTTTCAGTATCTTTCAGCTGCCAATTTTATAATGGAAAACTTTTCTATTTTACATAATCTATGTTTTTATGATTCCATGGTTTTATATAGTCTTCTTTTGGTGCCATTTCTGTTTTCTGACAAATATACTGAACATATATACATTAAAAAACAATTTCAATATTTTTGTTTGCTTTCCTTTTTTGTTTTGTTTTGTTTTGTTTTGTTTTTGAGATAGAGTTTCTCTGTGTATTAGCCCCAGCTGTCCTGGAACTTGCTCTGTAAACTAGGCTTGCCTTGAATTCACTGAGATCTTCCTGCCTCTGCGTTCTGAGTGCTGTGATTAAAGGTGTGAGCCAAAATGCTTGGCTTCAAATATTTCTAAAGAAACTTTTTCTTATAGGAAAAAGGGAGGATTCTAAATATTTTAAGGTAATAATGTTTCTAAGTGTCTATCTGATATTTTTTCATTTTAATTGTTATCATGCAGTACAAATAATAAAAACTCAGAGACAGATGCTGCTTTCTCAAGGTAAAGATCAGAAAAACAAAGCAGTCAAGCCACCAGAGAGCTCTTACCTTTACCAAGGCTGGGGCAGTCTTGTCCTCAACGTGGCTGGAGACTAATTGCCAAGACTGAATGCCTAAGACAGAATGCCAGCTTTGAGATGCTGATTCTGTCTTATATACATACCTTTCTAGTGCTGAGATTAAAGTCATGAACTCTGTTCTGCTTTCCGACTGATTCACTGGCATGTAGCCTTGGGTGGCCTTGAAGTCATAGAGATCCATCTGCCTCTAGTTTCTGAGTCCTAGAATTAAATGTGTGTGTCACCACTGCCTGGTCTCTATAGCTATGGCTAGTTTTGCATCATGATCTCCAGACAAGCTTTATCATATCATTAACAATATATCACCACATTGTCATATATTATATCCACACATTATATATACACATACATTATACATTATATCCATAACTTAGTATTATACCAAGTAAAGATATTGAAAACTCAAAACTACCATTTTGTAATGGGTAATATTGGGAAAAAAGAATATTTTTTTATCACAACATAAAGGGTGTGTAATTTTGGAAAGAATTCTTGGGTTATCCTCAAGGAATATTTTTTGAACTCATAATATTTTGTCTTATTTTTAAGTTATAATGTGTCATTTTTCCATTCCCTTTCCACCTTCCAAATCCTGCCATGACCCCTTCCTTCCATCCCCTCTGAATTTGTTCTTGTTCAAATCCATGGTCCTATTTTCTTTAGTTGATGATTTATTAATGTATAAGTATCAAATATTGTTTTTATTTTGCTAATTTTCTATTATCTATGAAAATATTTTTATAGAACTTTAATCTGTGAGAGAACTTGGATTCCAGAAATAGTAGAGATAGAAGACAACTGAGTTTACAGACAGTGAAGTCTCTGTTACTTGTTAATTTGTAGAGTGTCATATTCCAAGCCTTACTTCATAATGTTATAAATACATGGCTGTATCTCCTTTAGTTTTCACCTTTGCAAATAACAATGTGATGTGAATACAAGGTCATAGATGACATAGTAAAGCCAGGAATGACACTCTACTGAATACAGAATCCATGAAACTGCTCAGTGGTCCTCCTCTTCCACCACGCTTCTAGGAAGCCATTAGCTGTATCTTGTGTCTTCACAGTCGCCAAGGGCTACAAAATGAACTACAGCTGGGATTAGACCTCAAAACCACTCATCTTCCACTATCTCCTTCTAACAATCCTCTTCAAAACTTGTACATTTTCCTTGATCCAGGAACTCTCATCCTGCAGGTCAAAGTCACACACAGTATAGGTGTTGCTAAGACTACAAATCTTCTGACTTTGGTGATATTCTCAAATATCAGCCACTTTCCTCTGCAAAAGGGTGTAAGCACATGTCCAGAGAACAGCACTTTCAGCTTTCTTCTTATCTTCTGCAAAGGAAAACTGTAGTCTGTCCAGCTAGATCAAGAACAAGGAATAACATGGGATATGCTGTTTAGTTTTCCTGGATAGTGCCCTGTAATCTTACTTCATGTTAATGTTACTAGAATGTCTTTTTGTGTCCATTAGAACTTAAGTGTAACTTCTTTTTTTTTCTGTCTATGGTTGTTGAAACTTTGGCATATCTTTTACCACATCTAACCATTAAAGTTCCATGCAAAGCCAAATAATGAAGTAAAAGTCAATTATACTATTTCAAAATGAATCTACTGTATATTTTTCTTCAAGATAGTATTTCTTTAATAAAGTGCCCAGTCACATGAAAAGAGTGATGAGAAAACAAAGGTTTGACACATTCTAAAATCTGCCAAATACTGTGGCACATTCTTGACAATTTCCAACATTAAACACCATTGCCTATACAATTTTACTGTACAAATCAGTAGAGCCAAGAGGTAATTGTGAAGTATTTATAAGTTTACACAGAGTGTGCTATTGTCAGTTTTACTACATCTACAATCATCATATTTCCTGAAAAACAACTAATTTTCAAATAGGAATTTTAAACTTGTTGAATAGAAGCCAACCAAAAAAGAACACAAATTCCAAAATTCAAATTCTGTATTTTGGAGGAAAACACGTTAGTAGAAACAATACAATGTCACATACAAAGACGTTTTAAGGTAATAGATGTAAAAACTTTCTTTTCTAAACAATGGTGAATAATTTTGTATTCCATAGCCATATTTAAACAGAAATTAATTATAAT